TAATGATATGTCACTCACAAGAGACTTATATTCACTATAATAGGGGATATTTGCCCATAAAAAAAAAAAAATGGAGCTTGAATTTGTTACTTATTTCATTAAAAATAAAACATAACATTGAAAGAAACATTCAACACATAAAAATGGCACACATTTAATTATCATCGAAATAAGTAAACGCCTCTCAAAGAATGGCCGTTTCTGTAGTATAAGAGGAAAAACACAGCATGTCTCTGGCTCAAACAACTGAGAAGTTATGACGCTTTGAACACAACGTGATATTTGGGATCGTATACGACCCCCCCCGTGGGTCACAAAGGGTTAACGTGACCTCCAAACAACTTCAAGGTGCTTCTGCTGCTGATATTAGGAATTCTATCTCGGATCCCAGTGTGCCGTCAACTAATTACCTTTTATGAGCGCTTTCCTCAGTATAGGGAAATATATGTGGGAACATTCGTTATCTGGAAAATGGAAATGCTTTGATGGATATATGCAAACACGTATTTGTGTTTCATCCATCCTGACAAAGAACTGTTTTCATGTACAGCTGTAACACAATTTAAATGTTGTGGCTTCTTCTCACGCATCTTTACTCTCGCTGCTGGGTATACGAAATATTATGTATGAACTATTCTGTCATTAACGTCTACTGAGGCGGTCACAGTACACCACATTTTATTGACACGTAAAGGCATACAGTACTTATATATACATATTTTTGAGTATGTACAAAATAGAGAACTCATGGATGTTACACATGTAGAAAAATATGCATTACATCTATATAAATATTTACACAATGTGCAAAACATATGGCATACAAACAACAAGAGGCATGGCATGGGTGAGGAGGAGGAGGAGACGTTGCTACGATGGAAATGTCCCCAAAATAAATGGATTTTTACTAAAAACGTCTCTTCTTGTCTGACTAGCTTTACACCAACAATAGGTTTACATTGTGATGAACGGTGCAGGAGAAACAGGAAACTATGAAGCTTCTAAATGAAGAGGGTTATTGGACAAACCACTCGGGTATTAAGTGCTTTTTAAAAGATCAAATCAAGGCAGGATCTGACATGCAGTACAGTATAAAAAGAGAGAGCAGCCATTATTGCTTCTAGCCGTCCCTGTATGGAAAGTGGTGTCACAAACTAAATCTTCCCCAGCCAAGATGTCCGTCTGATACGAATGAAATCAACTCTGCAAACCTAAAATATACACATGAAATCCTCTTTACACAAAACAAGATACATTTTCACCCTGAAAAAAAAAAGTGATAATTATTACACAAACGTGTGATAATATGTTCCTCTGCCTTTTTTTGGCAACTAAATATCAAATGTGACAGCTGTAAAAAGTGACTTTAAATACTTCATCTCTTCTACGACGCACAGGAACCAATGAGGGATTCTTACTCGTCACCCTGTGTAGGATTTACATCTCGCATTAAATGGGAATAAAAAAAGAAACCTGGAGTCAGCTAAACCTGGGTCCAAACATCAGGAGATAGGTCCGCTCTGAACGGGTATCCAACAGTCGCTTTAACACAACATTTGTAGAAAATAAACAAACAAACAACAAAGCCCAGGAAGCAGTTTTGTGAAGTATTTGATTTGTTCAGGTGGTTAAATGATGTGGATTTGATGATGGATTCTGCAGCAGTAAGAGCATCAAATCCGCAAAACAAAAAGGCAGAAAATACATTGATTTAAAATGTAACAGAACAGCCTGATGTGACTCTACTTCCTGTCAGAAATGACCCTGAAAATGTGCCACACCAGAGGAGAGGCAGCGCCCTCTAGTGCCCGTGGATATAATGACAGATTGAAGAGGTTAAAATGGACTGGAAATGTGATTTTTAAAGTATAAAAAAAGGACAATTTATGAACTAAATCTGATTTGAAAGTGCTATACAGTAAGCATAAATCGCAAAATAATATCTTAAAACGAAATATTCCTTACTTTTGAGATAAAATAGCAAGTTGGATGTTTAAAAAAAATCCAATTATGACGGCTTTAAAAGTAGCTAAGCCCTCTTGGTTGTGTATTACACCTCAAAGGTGTGTGTGTGTGCGTCTGCAGGACACCGAACAACACACAGATAAAAACAGTCATCAGAAGCCGATGTGAAGAAGACGTTTGGAATATTTTTCTTTTTTTTTGGATATAGCTAATTATTTCATTTCATAGATATTAGCTCTTATCTTCAGACAACGTGTGGGCGACGCGAGAACAATCATGCACACAGAGACGGGCGGACATGCAGAAGACGACACACACACACACACACACACACACACACCTCCCCTAAAGA